TTTTTTTTTTTTTTATTTTTCTTCCTGTTTTTTTTTATTGCTTGACATTTTCTCTTAATGGTTAGTTTATTCCAACATTAAAATCTTAACATTTATTTATTTTTTTTTTTTTTTAAATACTTACTATGAATTTTTTTTTATAACGTGACTCCATTTGTAAAATGTACCTGAAAAAAAAAAAAAAACAAACCTTTTAGAATCGATTCTAAATAAACATTCGTGAATAAAAATATTGGATGGAATACACCAAAAACGGTAAAAAAAAAAAAAAAAAAAGGTAATTAATGTAACCGACGACATATTGTTTAAATAAATAAAGTTTTTTTTTTATAAAAAAAAAGTTGACAAAGATTTTTAAAAAAAAATTAATAATTCATAAAAAAAAAAAGAAAAATGTTGTTTGTTTTTCTTACTTTAGATAATAATTTTTCTTTTTTCTTCTTCTTCCTCTTAACAGACGACAGATTTTCTTTTCTCTCTCTCTCTCTCTCTCTTTTACACTTTTTTTTTTTTTAACTACTTTTGTTTGTAAAAACTTTCTCAATATTTTTCCTTTTTTAACTTCCTGTTTTAGTTTCCCTATCTTTTTAAATTCATCCAAAGAAAATAAATATTTTTCCTTTTTTTTTTTTTTTTTCCTTCTGTCATTTTTTTTTTTTTTTAAAATTTATAATTGAAATCTTTAAAAAAAAAAAAAAAAAGTTTGAATTTTAACGACTGCATTTTATATGAATTGATAATTTATTACTTTTTTCCTTTTTCTTTTCCATTTTCTTTCCTTTTTCTCCCTCGTAATAATAATAATAATACCTAGAAAAAAAAAATTAAATGTATTTAAATATATATTAAAAATTTAAGATGTGATCATTTGAAAACTTACGTGATTTATTATATTTTCTTTTTTTATATTAAAAAAAGTATCGACGACAGTGAAATTTTCGTATAATTCATAGAATTTTCCTTTTTCTTTTTTTTTTTTAAAAAAAAAAAAAGTAGAAAACTTTTTCAAAAAAATTTTTTTTTATTATTATTATTATTAAAAATTCCGTCACGAAAGATTTTTTTAATAAAATACTTTTCATAACGTTAATTAAAATAAAAATGAATAATTTTTTTAAATTTAATTTTCTCTCCCGCCCCCGCCACCGCCCCGCCCCCCCTTTTATTATTATTTCGCACAAAGTAAATTTTTTATTTCTTTTATGAATACTTGATTAAGAAAATTTTCTTTTCTTTTCTTTTCTTTTCTTTTTTTTTTTTCCCGTATCCGAAAACCGAGTTCTGAAACATTAAAATAAAAAAAATTTATAACTCTTCACAGATAATAAAATATTTTCGTGTAAATAGAAAACAGCAAAAAAAAAAAAAAAAAAAAAACCTTTTTAAATTATTAATGATGAAATTTTCTCTTAGTTGATGACGATGATGACAAGAAAAGTAAAAAGTATAATAGAACAAAACAATCATTGTTAAAATATAAATCGTTATGTTGATAATAAACTAAAACTTGTTGTCTTCGATATGTATATACAAACAACAAAACTCTGACGAACGTTTCATTTCCTTTTTTTCCTTTTTTTTTTTTTTTACCTGACTGACAGGTTTCTTCTTAATTAACAATTTTCCTTCAGATTTTAATATAAATTTTTCATTTCAATTTATAATTAATTGAATCGTATCTGAAATATATATAAAAAAAGAATAAAATAAGATAGAATAAATGAAAAATCCAAATGTTGTTGTTTGTTGTTTGTTGTAAAATAAAAATAAAAAAGGAAAAAAAAGAAATCTCATCGGAGATTCTCCCATTGTGTGATTCCACCATTTTTAAATTTTCAATATTCATTTATTTATTATTATTATTATTGTTAAGTGATTTTTTCTTTTTCATCTCATTCGAATTATATTTTCCAGCCTTTTTCTTCTCCTTCTTCTTCTTATTCTCTTTCTTATTCTCATTCTTATTTTTCCTTTGTTGAAAAACAATGAAATGAAAACGATATATAAATAAAATACGAGTAAAAAGGTATTATTATTATTATTATTATTA